TATGACTGAATTTTGCTTATTCGTTTATTTATAACATTTATATACTCTTCCATATTCTAATATGGGGATTTTTGAGCGATGAACAATAAAATATAGAACTTGAAAAAGAATAAACTAATACATTGCAAACAAAATCATATCTGTAAAGCCATAACTGGTTAGTATAGGAAGGCATCCTGAAATATGTTTTCTGGAGCTGCTGAAAACAATATACTGTCGGTGTCCACCTGACCTCTAGAGGCAGAGTCCCAAAAGAAATGTAGTGGCTATTCTGATGGCTCTTCTCTGGGTGGTCTCCAGTTGGGCCACAAGTCCATGTGGACTCATCAGCGGCATGCCATCTGATGACCTCAGTGACCAGGCAGGTGGGTAAGGAAGAAGGCATTCTCTCAAGTACAGTGTACAGTCCAGTGTACAACCTGGAAACCAAAAGTAAAGACATTAGGAGCTGCCATCATCTACTGGGGTAATTTGTATTTCCAGTATATGCAACCTCATCTTATATATGTATGCATGTATATGTACACATAATCCTAAGGGGCAGCTTTTATACAAATTTAATAGATAAATAAGTGATATTCCACTATTCAATGTCAAATATTTCTATGGTGATTTTAAAATAACATTAAGCCAGAAATGACAGAATAATGTTGAAAAAAATAGTTATTTATTTTTAAAAGGAACACAGTAACCGTAAACATGGATTTTTCAATTTAGAGAGCATTTATCAGACTCGCAGAGGACAGAGTATCAGGTCTGATCATTAGGAACATTTTTAAGAAACAAGTTTCCCTTAGCAATAATCAGCTAATCTAGTAGTACCAGGCATTTATCCAGTTCATACCTAACAATGATCCCGCATGTTAGCACATGCTTTTCCAGCAACTAATGTGGCTAAATAAACCACCAACTTTCCAGTCAAAGTTTATTGTAAACCTGTAACTCTGGCCTGTCTTTCCCCAGGCAAGCCACTATAGTTTGTTCATTAGCCCAGGATTACCAGTTTGTACATCATGATAAACAAAGCATGGATGGAAAGTCCATGGTTAGTTTAACCACTCCCACATGTAGCAAGAGTGACCAGGCAGCGTGCCCCACAATGTGCAAACCAGTCCATCATGCGCTGTGACCCTGAGTTTGAGATCAGGACTTGGGTGCAGATTTACACTGAATCAACTGCACTGATGGAAATGGACTTCACTCCCTGCTCCTTCAGTCCTCTGAAAGGTAGCAGAGACAGTCAGAAGATCCTGCTGAATGGAGTGAGCTGTGTGGGAAGGAGGAGATGCAAACACTGAGTGGAAGGACCTTCCATGAGTGGAGCACTTCCTCTTGTGGAAGGTCTACCTCTCTTGCATAAGGCAGATCCTGCATCCAGCCTAAGCCATACACCTGACCAGAAGCTGCAGCCAAATGTGGCATTCTGTAAAATTCTTGTTTTGAAATATGGCATGCTCTCATTCAAACATTGCATTCAGATGTACATTAAAAAAAATCTTTAGGCATATACTTTAAAACTAAAAGGTATGGTACTACCCAAGATTAGTGCTTTTAAGTCACATGATTTAAGTGATATCTCACTGATATCAATAGGACTTTGAAAAACAGGACTTTTAACACTGAAGGGCTCGTGCAGTCTATCATTTGTGACTCGACTTTGAACAGAATGGACTGGCAATGTCAGGTTTTTCCTTTCATCAAATACAGCATATTTCCCATGGATTGCTAGCCTGGAATAATCTAAAGGGGAAACAAATGTGGGTGCAAGTTATACTGTGGAAGTGAGCTGAGTTAGTTTTACCAAGCTACTGTGTGAGAAAAGCTTTTATCAATTGTCTGGCAGAGAATAAAAACCGATGCACTGTAGAAAACAAAAACGCGGTAGCAATTAGTTGCAGAAAAAGTTGCCCATAAGATGGTCTGGGGAGGACTTGGATTAATGCAGTTTTTGTGATAAAATTACATGGTAAAGGTCAAAAAGATGGAGACCCGTGCATGAGTGAACTCTCTTTATACATACAATTTTCATGAATGGAAAGGAAAACTGTGTAACATGCAGGGGAGGCAATACAGGAATTTGGTGCATGGACCAGTCAAGGTTAAGCACGTTTAAGTTGCATTGCACTCAGTGGGAGAGAGTTAAAGCATATGCCCATGTAGCATGCAAGCAACATATCTTACAATACAAGCTCCACACAGCTGTGGTGTGCATGTGAACTGTGCAAGCATGTGGGCACAGCCCATTATGTCGATCCTTCCCACCCAGAGCTAGCCCTAGCATTTGACAGAGTGCAGGGGCTGCCCTCCTCCACACAAGCTGCCTGCCACCCTCTAGTCCAGGAAAGGATGCTATCAAAGTAAGTTGGTGGACCGGGGCGGGGGACCATCTTGCCCTTTGCTCCAGGCAGCAAAGGATCTACTCCCACCCACTCATGGCCAGCAAAGAGCAGCAATCAATTAAGAAAGACTTAGGGGATTGGTCCTGTCTAAGGAGTAGGGAAAATGCATTATGGCTCCTGCTGTAGAATATTTTAAAATCAAAGGCAGAGGTTCCTAATGTTGCTTTACTGTACAAGTGTCACTTTAAGGCATTATAAAGATGGTGATGATGGTGATGAGGAGGAGGAGGACATTCTAGGCCTCACAGCATTCCTCATCACAGCATTCTAGGCCTCACAGCATTTTTGAAACTCCCTGTACTGATCTTTGAAGATCTCCCTTGCCCCAGTGCAATGGTCCCAATCTGAATTGAGGGCCCTTGCCTACTTCTAGAGTACCTATTTTACTTTATTTTAAGCATATCTTTAAAGCAATTTCTGTTTTGGCCCTGGGCTAGCCAGTCAGCATGGAGATGGAGGAGTCTTAGGAAGTCTTTATATTTTGCTTGTATGGACCCTGAAGGGGCAGGTTAAAATTGCTGAGATCTGACTGCCCTATGAAGCAATATGGCTGATTTATTAAAGCCCCAAACTGCCAATCTTTGATGGGTGAGCTGGCAATCATTCCCTTTAGGACAGATATATACATTTCAAGCCTGGGACCAACCAGTTCTTCTTTTTCCAGGGGAGGCTGGGAGAGCAGTCTGCTGACTGGCCTTGGAGCAATCATAAAACTGCTTCCTTTCCCTTTTCTCTGCACACTGTCCTCCTCTTCCAAATCAATATATATTTTATTTAAAATGTTTTTTGGCTGCCATACTGGGCAGGAGCCTTCCCAAGGCAGCATACAACAATAAAACATACTATAAAAACTGATGCAGTGTTAAAAACAGTAAAAACACAATAAAACAGCAGAGTCTTTGTGTGTGCACACACTAAGCAAATGGCTCCTCAGAAAATTAAAATGACACCAACAGCACCCAGAGTGTGTATGTGTGACTCAAATTGAATTCATCATGGAATCAGAACAAGGCCCATTAACAGAGGCACAAACATGGTGAAGGGACACTCAAAAGGAAATCTATCTGTCCCAGGCCTAACTTTCTGGCCTGGATTATAGCTCTACAAAGACAGGATACCTTCAGATAGACAATAGATAGATACTCTGTAACATGTGTCCCCTCCCCCCTCGCCTTAATCTTTGACCCGCACAGACATATTAAGTCCACCAGACACATTTTATGGCCCTGGCAAGTGCACTGAGTCTCAGGTGAGCTGACATAGAGGGCACTGCAGGCCCAAGGGACAATGGTTTCCAGAAAATGCACTGCACTGGGAAAGACTTTGCACTCTGGCCTGTGGATCCTCCTCTCCTTCCTGCTCCTTTGTGAAGGTTGACCTCAGGCTCTCTGTGGCAACTTCTGAAAGGCCAGGAAGTGAGGGCACTGGAGGAGATGCCTGAAGCACAGAAAGATTCTTTCCTTAAAGGAAGGTGTGCCAGGTAGAGAACCAGAGTGGAGCTGCTTTTCCTGAAGAGAGGTTACCTGAATTACCAGAACGGTGCTGAGAGAGTTCACTGTCAGGCTGTGCTAAGAGTACCTGCCTTAGCAAGGCATTTATTATCCAGCGCGCCAGCAGATGTCCACCCCGGGCTCTGGAGGCCTCCGACCTGCGGTCTTGCATTCCGAGCAAAGACCGGCATTTTACTTCTACCTCGCTAAGCCCAGCCATGCTTCTCCCCAGTGCTCATGGTCACCATGCAGACTTTATTCTTTGGAAGATTATGTGTTGTGACAGGAGGGCCAAGTGCCTTCCCAGTATTTGCTACCAATCTGTGGAGCCAAGCCATCTGTCAGTGAAGCAGGAAGGCCTGGGCTCCCTTTCTCCCCAGGGCTCCCTTTGCTATTTTGGGGAGTACCCCTTCTCCCCAGGTCAGTGGGAACCACGGTGGTTCAAAGCCAAGGACTGTCAGGCAAGAGAAGGCCCAACGACTACAGCGGCTGTTTTGCCCATCTGCCACGGCTGGAGGTGTATTCATTATTAATGGCAATAGTGGCAGTTGCTGTTCAGATATGCAGGCCTGCCTGGGTAAATGAGACATTCTTCAGCAAATTGCTTCGTTTTTTGATTGCTGATTGTACGCGTGTCACCAAGCTGACTCAAGGTTCATCGATGCATGCTCAGTAAATTAGAAAGAACATAACTATGGATCAGCCAAGAGAATGAATTCTTTGCCTACAATGACCCAGGGCCATTTAATTTTCTGCTTAATTTTGTTGCAGTCAGTTTGCATTTTGGGTTATTATGCAGTAGGAAATTAACAATAAATAACAAATTTGGTCCTCCTGTGCTTGTAATGATATTTTTATAAATCTTTGCAACGCTCTTTTTAAAAGGATCAAGGTCTGTGCCAGCCTGATACCCCCACCAGTATGCAGGATAGGAAAGAAAGGAAAAAAAATGCATTAGTCCTGCCAGATAATCTCATAGTTAAATAGCAAAGATGTTTTCCCCCTTTCTCCCTCTCTTCTCCCCATCTTTCTCCCCCCGCCACCTTCTCGCTCTCCTGTAATTCTGCATTTCACATTAAACTTAAGGCTTTTCTTTTTCTCTTTCTTTCAGATAACTTGAGGAAAATGGAAACAGATGGGGCTCAAGATATGTCCCAAGTTTCAGGTGAGATCTGCAAAAAGAAGATGACTCGGAAAGGAGTGAGGGGCGGGAGGAACCCTGCCAACCTGAAATCCATTTGGTTCTCTATCAGAACACAGTATTGTTATTATTGTCATTGTAATTGCTTTGGGTCTTTTGTATTGCCAGAGTGGAAATCTAGATATAATTAATGTTTATCACTTCATATCAAACCCAGTAGTGCATGGATTTCCTTTTAAGTAACTTTACATAAAGAAATGAAGGAGCCCAAGAAGGAGGAGGGAAACAGCTCTGCCTTCCTTGCTGCACTGGCACATCAGTCTTGTGGGGCACATGCGAGCTTCATGGCCAGCTTTAAGTCAATATATCTCTTCCCAGAACCAACCCCCTGAGCCAAAGTAAACAGACATTGGGGTGGGAGGAAACATTTGTTTGGTTATATCCCTGCCCTGTCAAATTACTAATATTTCTCTAAAGCTCCTATGGCTTCAGTTTTAAGATAAAGGTTAAAACTATCCTGCTTAGGATTCCATGCCATGGGTGCACATATTAGTATTATTACATGGTAGTTTTACTTTGCATTAATATCCTGCTTTTTTCCTTCTTGTGAGGAACCCAAGGCAGCTTACATTTTATCCTCAGAACAATAGCCCTGTGAGGTAGGTTGGGCTGAGGATGAAGGACTGGCCCAAAGTCACCCAGTGAATTTCACAGTCAAGTGGAGACTAGAAACTGGATCTCCTGGGTCCCCAGTTCAGTACCTTAACCACCATACCACATCGACTTTCCTATCACAAAGATGTGATGAAGCAGTTCAGTGTGATGAAGCCGAATATGGTGTGTAGGTTGTGGACCTACCAATGCCTTGGACCCCAAGTAGGCTGGTCAAAAAAGGAGAAGTTCATCACCAAAAAAAGGATAAAAGAAGGCACTGATTTGCATAATATTTGCATATTCTAATCTACATATGTAGGTGTAAATTTAGATATAATTACTATAGTTTAAATGCAAATACAAGCTGGCTCACCATAGTGGAGATTCTAACTGTGAAAGATCTTCAGCATTGTCTTCTTCTGCTTCCTTGACTTTGAACCAAATGTGGCCTGTTCAGCCCATTCAGCAGAGAATGCCTTCAAATAGAGGATTGTCCTCTGCATTGTAGGACACCTGTCCACCTTAGGCCTTCAACTAGGCTGTTGAGACCTGGAAGCTTTCTTAAATTTCTGTTACATGTGCTCAGCAGTGCAATGCAGGTAGCCATCAGAACCGTCCCCAGAGGTACTCTGCAAGAAAAGTCCAAAACTTCAGGCAGCTGGGTTAATGCATATCAACAAGCCAGTTCAAGGAGTTTTCATCTCCACTAGGACCTCCACTAGGTCTTTTGTAAAGCTAATAAGTCTTAATTTTCCATTTGAGGCCAGGCCACCCAGAATATTGTTCATTGCTCTGCCCTGTTGGTAGAAAAATTCATGTCTCACCTCCAGCTATTGCGGAGAGTGCAGTTTAGCCCAGATGAAGCACAGAATAGACTCAGTGTGCCTGCTGATAAAAAGGCACTGCTGCTGCATCCCTGTGAGTCCTGACTTCACTATACCACAATGTATGTTTCTGAGGACTGTGGAAAGCTGGCAAGTGCTGCCATGCACAGTGGGAATAGGCCAACCAGGCAATGAAGTTCAGGTGCCAAGGTCAAGGTGTCTACCATGCTTCTGCAACAAAGCCTGTAAGACTTCATGCCAGTTTCAGCGAGTGCTAACGGATGCTGGTGGGCGTCCCAGAAGGTATTCTTCCCAGGGTATATCCAGACACAAGCCACTCCTTGGGACTTCTTGGATGGTCTGTGATGGCACTGTGACCTCAGAAAATCCTCAAACCAAAGTCATCACACTCTAATTTCCCCTCTTGAATTACAAATTGAAGCAGGATGCATGTTTTTACCAGGTTACAGTACCAGTGCTATGACCCTTCACTTGGATATGCTTTTAGGTTTCTGTACATAACCACCTACAACTACAGCAACTTTGGAAAATAAAAATCCCCAGCAGTTGTTCATACATGTAGAATGGCCTTTTCCCCTGTTTTGAGAGAAATGAGTATAAATCATCCAGTCTTTCCTCCTCTCTGCATTAGATGTGCAGATGTATGGATGTCTACACACTAGTTATGAACATTCTGCCTCTTGGATCATCCAGATTTGGCTGATGGTTGTCTTTCTAATTTGGACCTGTGCAATTTGCACCTACCACAGCAAATCCAGCTTCTCTGTATTGCTGTGGAAGCCCATCAAACCCAATAAACCTGTTATTGCTGATTGCACGATCTAGCCAAGACTGAGTTGCCAAGCCCGGGTATGTGACTGATCAGCTGCCTTCACCATGTGCTAAATTTGCAGATTTGTCTTAATTCAAAGTTTCACATGGATTGAGAAAGAGAGAGAGGAGTTTTGAGTGAAACTTGAAGTCTGGCAAATCCTGCTAAAACCAAGCAGAGGCGGAGATGAAGTACCAGTTTTGCAGTATTTCCTCTTGTCTGTGGTTTCCTGTAGAGACACCTGCATAAGAAGGAGCGGGTAAGGATTCAGATGGGGGCAAAAGCCAAGCTCTGCAGGCCTTCAGTTAGCTGGATGTTAGGAGAGGAACAACTTACTTATGAGACTTCCACTCTTCTAATAACTGAGTAATTTGTCCATTAAATCCCACTAATTATGCATGGCCCACCAGATATTGCTGGACTACAGTTCCCATTGTCCTAGCTAGCACAGCCAGTAGTGAGTGATGGTGGGAGTTGTAGTCCAACCTCAACCAAAGGGGCAAACGTCCTCTGCTTTATGTAACCTGCATTTCATAAGAAGAGAGCCATGCTGGATTAGACCAAGGGTCTGTCTAATCCAGCATTTTGTTCACTCAATGGTCAGCCAGTGGTGCATGGGAAAACTACAAGGAGAACAAGAACGCAGCAGCACAATCAGGTTCCTCAGGAATATTGGTTCTGATCATGTAGGTAGCACACAGCCATCAGGACTAGTAGCTATTGATAGCTTTATCCTCCATTGTCCAATTGCATTTTAACGCCTTCCAAAGCCATCCACATCTCTGAATCTTGTGGAAATGAACTCCATAGTTAACTATGCACTGTTTTCTTGATGAAGATTAATTGTTTTTACGAGCAACGCGTTCAGATTTGACAAGTTCATAGAGCAGAGGTGCAGAACCTGAGGCCTAGGCATTCAACGCATTCTTGGTATCAGCATGAAGAAAAAAGAATAATAAATTGAAATAATTTTATTTTTCAATGTAATCCCCCATAACTTCAATACACTTACTACATCTAGAAATTAACTTTTCAATTCCCTGTAAAAAATACCCTTCCTCCTTGTCTAAAAAATGTGCGTTAATTGCCGCCTTGAGCTATTCATCGTCGGAAAATCACTTTCCATGAAGATCTTTTTTTAAATTCGGGAATAGGTAGTAGTCACTGTGGGCCAGGACCAGGCTATAGGGTGGGTGGTTTATTTCTTCGAAACCAGTCTCGCACAGCAGCCTTCGAAACACGCACCATATGAACGGGCGCGTTGTCGTGAAGAAGCAACACACCTGCGGTCAGTTTTCCCCACCTTTTTTCTTTAATTGCTTCTCTTAAATTACTCAGAGTGGTTGCATAAGATGCTGCATTTATGGTTTCACCTTTTTTCATGTACTCGATCAATAAAATTCCCTTTGAGTCCCAAAACACTGTGGCCATGATTTTTCTGGCCGATGGAGTGACTTTGAATTTCTTGAGAGGGTGAGCACCTTTTTTGTGCCACTGCATGGACTCCTGCTTACTTTCAGGGTCATAATGATGAACCCGTTTCATCTCCAGTAACAATCTGGTGGAAAATACTCGATGGATTTTCACCACAGAGCTCTAAAAACTCCCTACAGCACTCGACTCACACTTGTTTCTGAGGCACCATGAGCATTCGTGGCACCCGTCTTGCACAGACCTTTGAAAGGTTAAGATGGTCATGAAAAATAGTAAATATGGTACCAATGGATATGTTTGTCATCTCTGCTAACATTTTGATTTTTATTTGGGCATCTTCCAATACCAGTTTCTCAATTTTTTTCACATTTTCTTTCGTAGTGGGAGTAACTGGCCCACCCAAGCGAGGGTCATCTTCAATGCTTTCTCTGCCCCTTTTAAATTCACTTGACCACTTTTGAACAGTAGATAATGAAGGTGCAGAGTCCTGGTGAACGGCCACCATCTCTTCGTGAATGATTTTTTGACTTTTTCCTTGTTTTGTAAGGAACTTAATCACATCTCGGTGCTCAATTTTCTTCAACATTGTCGCGTCAGTCATCATGGTCGTCTTTCACTAAGGATTACTAGGGAACTAATGATCACACTTATTTGAAACTTTGCATGTATACCCTCAGATAGTGCCATTAGCAAATGAAATAATTAAATTACCCACATCAATAGCAAATCAACCCAATACCGAGAATACATTGAACACCCCTTGTAGGTGCTAAATCTGGGCTTCCCAGAAAGCTTTGCCCCTCCAATGGCCAGGTTCTAATCACCAATTGTTTGGAGTTTCCCAGCTTCTGTGCAGTCTTTCCTAGAAGGTAGAAATTACTCTTCTTAGCTACTGGCAGTAAGAGCTAGAAACTAGAACATGCTGGTACTTTTGGCCTCAACCACTTTGCCTTTGGCTCTGCCCTCCATTGAAATGTGGCTGCCAAGAGCTTCTTCAAAATGGAATTTGGCCCTTAGACTGAATGAAAGAGGTTAGGTCTATCCACAGCTGTTAGCCACGACAGTTAAATGAGAGCTCTATGCACAAAAGTGGTATTCCTCTGAATCCTGGGGACAAAAACTGGGGCCTGGCCATCCCCTTTTGTTGAGCTTGAGATCCTTCCAGAGGAACCTAAGCTGGCTACTATTGGAAACTAACTGTGAGCAAATGGACCTTATGTTCTTATATCTAGCTAGTTAGTAGAAGTGCTATAGCTCTGTGCATTGTGGCTGTGCATTTC